ATAAAACAAAGATCATCACGACGTTAAGTACAGTTTGCGCAATGGCAAACTGGAGGCTGGCCCAGTATTGGCAGCAGGGCAATCCAGATATTTCCGGAAGACTTCGGTGTCTTTCCCATCAACGTTCGCGAATCACGCCAGGTGGCGAATTCGGAACGGGGAAACGAGCACTTTCCAGAGCTCCGGCTGATCCTCCGAAAAGACTGTCTGCCGATTGGTCCAGCCCCCGGAAACAAGAAGAAATTTAGAAAGCAAAAGAAAAGGGAGTAAGAAAGTGCGTGCCTCCGGATAGGGAAACAGAAGGACAAGAGTAAACGCGCTCAACAATGAGATGCATGGTATGCTCCAACGCCAGTTGAGGAACCCAAGGACCTTGATGCAAAATGGATATGCATATCACAACGCCCAGAATATGTGAAAAGCCCTTTTTCAAGTCAAGCCAAGAAAGAACAATCACTTAGCGCCTTGGTGAATGAAATTAGAAGAGGGATAAAGCCTGAGTTTAGGCAGAAGTTGCCTCGACCCGCGCATCCGATTCGGAGCCATGCTCGATCGCAGAATTCGGAATAGGCGAACTAGCAGCGTCAGAGACCTGTGCAGTAGTAGCTTCAAGCTCCGTCTGAGCAGTCAACGCTTGAATACGTCGTTCAATCAGCTGCTGCAGGTTACGCAGAGATTCGAGTTCAGTATGTGCTTCGGTGAGATCATTAGGCGCCTGTGCTCGCAGCGTGTCGATGAGGAAAGTAATCCGAGCGTTATCGTCCGCAGGTTCTGTCTGATTCTGACTGGCGAAGACAAGAAGATTCGCGGCAGCTTCGCGATCGGCTGCTGATCGCGAGTTGTCAATCGCTTCTGCGGCATTCGGCAAAGGACCAGGTCGTTGGGCGGCATAGAATTCGACAGCTCGTGCGTGAAGTTCATCGCGCTGCGCTCTAGCTTCTTCAAAGTACTTATCTGCCTGCTGTTTGTTGTACTCAAACTCGGCATTTTCCCTGCCCAGATAGTCAGTCAAGCTCAGAAGGGGATACTAGTCAAAGAGCTAGTAGGATGACTGACCGTTTGACTTTCGCAAGGAAGGCTGCTTCTACCCCTTTTTCGGAAACGCGGTAAAGGATACCTCCTCCTACATCTTCTTCATTTTCAATCCGTTCTGATTCCTCTTCGCTGGGGAGAATTTCAATGTCAATCATCCGTGGTCGCGCAGGTCGACGGATCTTTCGCGCGTCATAGGATCCCTCGTCGTTCCAATGGAAATAGTACATCTCGTGTTCAACGTGCATCGGGCAACGCCAGCGTTTATCGGACTTGTGATCTTGCTGGGGCGGTTTGGCCATAGGCGGGTCTAAGCAATCCATATGCCAATTCAAATAACAAAAGTCGCATTGTAGAATAGGTTTATCTCCATCGCTTGGGCGACCGCAGGCGTAACAGATGATGAGATTTCCATCCGAGTCCGTGATCTTGCGGAGGTTGGGATCGTCGTAAAAACCATTGCATACTCCGCGTCCGACGCCGTTGACAAGATCGTAAGAACATTCGGTGTACCTCGTACGATCGTTTTTATCTTCAGGTCGCGATCCCGTTTTGACGCCAGCGAAGTGATTTCGGATACTGACGGGTAGCATAAACTCCTTGTTCACTAGTCTGTCAAGCTTATCCACCATCTTACGGATGGGCCGCGAGACAGAACATTTTGGGCAGAACCAATCTCCCGCCGGAGGATCGGCGGGATCCAAAGGAGGGTCGAGGCATGAAAAATGGAAGGAGTTCACGCAGCCATCGCAACAGAGCAACTGTCCTCGGCCACCGCATTCCCGACAGAGATCGCTGTTGTCCAAAGATCCTTCCCTGCTACAATTTGGTCAGCTTCATTCAGTCCGAACGATCCAAAAATGTCAAAAGAGAGTCGTACCTAAAGGTAGGGGTCAGGCGCCGGTTATCCTCAGCACCACTGCTTTCGGCAGACTCTGATTGTTCTCTGCCGTTCAATAAGGGCACTTCAGGCGCGGTCTGAACTTCGTTAATGGATGGGAATAAAGGCGACAAATCATTACCAGGAGGCTCTTGGGACAGAGTAGAGCGAACGCCACTTTCTTCAGGAACAATATCGGGGAGAGGCTGTTGCAGGCGCTGCCGTTTGGCACGGACGGCCTCTTCGGAGAACTCCGTGTCATCTTCCAATGCCCGCTTGCGTGCATCACTCGAGGGGAAAGCGGACTGGCGAGTCTGTCTCGATCTATCTTTATTGGCTGCTTTTGTGGCATTGGTCTTCGCTTGCTTGGCCTTAGCACGCAATTTCGAGCGGGTTGCAGCCGCCGCCACAATGACGGGGGTTGGCACTGTCGTTGGAGCAGATGTTTGGGCTTCAGGCGACACAGCAGACGACAACGAAGTAGCAGAGGTGTCGGATTGGGTTCGAGTCATGGCAGCCGGTGCAGCCGCAGCTGAGACATCCGTTGCGTCCTCCTTCCGAATTTCTCGCCAAGCAGCACGGATCAGGTCATGAAAGGCGTTCGCATTACGATCCCCAACCTCCTTCTTGCACATTCCATGAACCACAGACATGACCATCGGATCCTGAGTGGCCTTTGTCCAAAGATTGAACAGACTTTTGACGACCTTGCTGTTGTTCGTGTCTGCAGCCATTCGCAGTGTCTCCTTCATGGCATTTTTGGTTTGCTCTAAATCTAATTTCACCGAATTGCAGACGGGAAGTGACAGCAATGCGTCAATTTCTTCGTAGGAGCACGGTTTAGAATCCTCGGACGGAGTTTTGTCTGCAGACGTCGCGGATTCCTGCGGCGTCTGCGCATCAATTCCTCCGTTCGACAACACCTGGAGATTTACGTTCTGTGACGACCGGAGAGCTTCGCTCTGTGGTACCTTAGGAGTTTCGCTCTGCGACCCTGGTGTTGGCGGGTTTTGCGATGCTGGAGTTTCTTCATTCTGCGACATAGGATCATCCGTCTGCGACATGTCGTTTTGCAACGCGAAGAGTTCCTTAGCCAAAGACGAGATTGGTTTGGAGGATTTCGTGGGCTTCAGGCCTGCTTTGCGCAGGTCCGCAGCAGTTGGCATGGAACCGAGAGGACGCATGGTCGCCAAAATGGGATTCGCCGCGTTCGACACTGCCGACCATGGCGTATCCGCGTAACTCGGGGCAGGGGTCCTCAAAGGAGGCTCGACCCAGGCCGTTTGATCTCCAGGGGATTTCATATTAGGACCCGAGTTCGCCGCACTTCTCGAAATATCCTCCGCGTTGTTGGCCAGGTGGTCTTGAGGAGGCTCGGTAGCGACTCGAGCGTTCCGTCCCGTGCGTCGACGTTTTGGCGGTCTTGCAGGTTCAGTAAATGATGAAGATCGTTTATTAGATACAGGCGCATCTAGTGGAGTTGACTGGCGCGAATTGTCGGACGGGGGACGGGATGCTGAGCGGAGAGTCGGAGGCATTATTGTACCGCAGGGCTTGAAAGCTGCGGCGCCTGACAATAGAAAAGTTAGCTCGCAAGAACATACAAGAACGCATACCAATGGATAATATACGCAAACTTACTGATCGACTATGGCCCGAGACAAACAGCAAGCGTGCCCAGCGTTGCTGTTTGGGATCGTGGCCAGCCCGCGCGCTGTCTGCGGGTTGATGGAAGGGAAGATTGCGGAGTTGAAAGCGACGGGAGTTTTCGAGGACCAAAGTTCCCCAATCAGACCCTCCTAAGGGGCGTTCGCCGCTACAACCACGAAATATGCCACACCAAAATCTAAGCATTTCAAAGTTAGATCCAGTAGATTCAGATATTCGAATAGATTTCCAGTCATGAAAKCTCAGCTTCTTGATTCCGAGGGAAATTGCTTACCTGGTAATCCTTCGCGTTTCTCTGATATCCCTCTCCAGGGGCGTTGATAGATCGCTCAGGTAGATATGTCAAGGTAAAAGATAAGATGCTTTCTCATCTAAAAACGCTCACTACTAGAGTCACTTGATCCCTTCGGCTAAGCCAGTATGAGCTTGTCAAGCAGATGCCTTTCGTGCGGTCAGCAGGGCGTCCCAGAAGCTTTGTAGTGGAGAAGAGTGTGTGATGAAATGTGAGACAAGACGCTCTTGATAGGCTTCAAGATAGACAGTTCCTCAGTGCTTTCAAAGCTCATATCCTCATGAAAAGAAAGATGATGGCAAGACGGAGGCAATCTTGCGGGTTGATGATGGAAAAGAAAATGACGAGAGTGATCAAAAAGGAGCGTCCTTTGGGCGCAACGAGAGGTTGCTGGTTTCTCGTTTGGGAAGGACAGAGAACACGATTGGTTTTACCACATTGCTAGAGTGATAGTTTGAAAGATGCAAAGTGGCTAGCAGGGTGGGAGGAAAGAGGAGCAACACAAGAGGACGTGAAAGTGGCAACCAGTGATGAGACTCTTGGGGAACTTACGGACACAAGCTCGATCTGTACTTGGTAATCAATAGGCAGACAGCGAGGTTGAATAACCAGTGAAATATGTCTTGAAGCAGAGCTTCGTAGTTAAATCAATGAGGACGAATGTTGACTGAGGGAGTGGAAAGTGATGATTAAAGAGCAATCTTATCCACCTTGGGACGTCGGCAGCTTTCTTTTCTCTCGACTTCCCGAATTCAGAACAGCGAGTCCAAGTTGGTCAGAAACCGAACGTTATGTAGCAGATGGAAATGATGAAAGTAAGAAAGTGGACGAGAGATGAAGGAGACAGAGAGATGGACGAGCAAAAGGTGGAAGAGCAGAGGGCTCTCGCCTCACTGCTAGAAGCAACAAGCTCCTGACAAATGTGTTACAAGAGTAAATTCCCAACGCAGACACTTGGGGCGACAGACACGGCTCGTGAGTCCTTTGATGCTTCCAGGTGAAGTAGCTGAGAGAAGAGTTTAGATGATAGAGATATTACGGTTCGTATGTCGAATGAAGGAGATGATGAAAAGATTTGATCTCCGACCAGTCAGACAATCAAGAGGCATCCAGATAGAAGACAAGAAGATGAGGAAAGAAGTAGAAAATTTGGAGGAGAGCTTGTGGGAAGAAAGTGCAGATGCCCCAAGCGATCTCCAGACAGTGAATATCGAAGACGCGAGAGGCGGGGAGAAGCGCGAAACCGGCGTCACTGGCTGCCAAATCAAGGAAAGCAGCAGAGGCACCCTGGTACCCAAGCTTCTTGTCAGAATAGAGACAATGCGAATGGTCTCTCTTGGGGTACGTGGGGAGTATGGATTATGGATAGGAGAATGGGAAGGGGATGGAGGAAGGATTCGAAGAGAGAAGAGCGGCCCATCCAACTGACACTGGCCCACCCACTGCCAACCACCCTTTCAGCAGCAAAGAGCTCGACAAACCGGGCATGCAACGATTCACTCGCCTAGCTAGTAGAGAGTCATCTCTGGCTCATGTACAAAAATTGAATTACAATATCTGGGGTACATTGGACATTTCGCCTCAGCGAGGACGCAGTTGATCTGAACGCCTTTACCCTGACTCTTTGTGGCTACAAAATACTTGAGTAGATACTTCTCTTGCAAAGAATCAATACTTGAGTGCCACTACTAGATTGATATCTTCTTAAAGTGTGAAGAAGAGAGCAGTCTTCCCTGGGATGAAATGTATGAGGAAGATGGCAACTGCCAGCAGAGAGGTGGCAATTGCCCCTCGAGCAGGTTAGAGTATAGCCCATGGCGCTGTAGATGTTGGCTCGTGCTCCATCTATACGTTTAGAGACCACGCACTGTGGCCTGAAATGAGAAGCCTAGATTCCTCAGCTCCTGGAGTAGCCCGTTCCAAAGGTTCATCAGCTTCGTGACCTTGTGCATGGTTAAAGCCAGGACAAAGGCTCACTTCACACCATCGCCGAGCATGTACTCACATTTACGAAAGTCGGAACCTCATAAGATAAACCTCATATGCACGATTGCAAGGAGTAAGACAGGAACTGCCATGTCGAAGGTTTTGCCGGAATCTCCGGAATACGCCGGCTACAAGAGACAAACGACTTCGGAAAATGAGGCGCAATGACAGTTCCTTCATTTGATATATACCAGCTCATATACTGTTTTTTTCATTTTCGTTTTCAAGTGATTACGGGACAGAAATTGTAAAGAGCCTGATGGGCAACATTGATCTCACATTGCTGCTCTGCATCCATATCCGGCCGGGCCACTGGCCCAAAACACCCCACTGGCCAGTGCATCCCCCGGGCTCCTTTTCGACTGTCATTTTAAGGCACTCTTCATGCCTCCTGCTGCAGTCCTCCCTTTTGAAGCCGGCAGAAAGGGAGAACTCTGGTTGTAAGATGATGCGATTAGGAGTTGAAGAAATCGAATCTTTTTAAATGATTCGTCTACTCCTCATCCTTTGAGTCCTTAGTAGGCTTCTTCTTCTTCTTGTTCTTGTTGCCAGTGTTTTTGGCCAAAGGACGCTCCAGAATCTTCAGGATCTCCTCATCCTCGATCTTCTTGTCCGTCTGGAACTTAGACAGGTCAGGAGGGTTAGGCGCGGCCAATCTGGTAATGCCGTTCTTTGTGATGGCTACAATCCTCGTTAGCGAAAGCGGGAACATTCCGTTGAACAAGTGATGAACATACCAATGGTCGTCAACAGACGGGAAACAGGAGCGTTGTCGGCATCACCAGCGGGCTCGTACTGTCTCAAGACACCGCCACGGACACACTCCACAACACCGACCTTGGCAGACTTCTCGTCCTCCAGCTGTCGCAAACTGAAGGGGAATGTGCCAAACTTCTTGACGACCTCGGACAGAGTCTGTCTGGAGCTGGGTCTCTTAAGGATGTAGGTGGTAGTGGTACGGCGATGCAAGGTAGCGCGGAGAGGAAGGGTCTTGACCTTTCCAGAACCAAGGGAGAGACCAACTTCAACACCCCAGACTTCTCCAACGTCGGGGACACCCTCACCCTTCACGCCAGAGCCGGGGGCCAGGATGATCTTTTTCCCACCCTCGATTTCGTTGCGTTCAAACAACCAGCTGGTGGTGTTCTCAACAACATTACAGTCGTAAGCCTTGGCTACCTTTTCGATGAGGGCGGAGATCTGGCTCTGAGTAGGGGCCTTCTCGGCAGCGGCCTTCTTCTTCTCCTCCTCGGTACCGCTAGCCAGAAGACCTGGGGGCACCATGAGTCTCAGCAGAAGCTCGTTTGCATAGTGGGTTGCGTGGATGAGGTCAGCCTCGCGACCTGTCACGACGTCCTTGGAAGATTCCTTGTCGGCAACGACGAGCATATCGCAAACAATGGTACCAAATCCATCGATCTGAGCGCCGAGTTGGATCTTGACGATCTCGCCGGCCTTAAGGGTAGTCTCAGCCTCTTGAGCGTCCGACACCAGGGGGGTGTACGGTGTCACATAGGAGCTTGGGGACACAGTTGTCGGGTGGCCGATACCTTTTGTTGTCAAACATATTATGTCAATATCGTACGACGGGTCTCAATGCGGGAAATCTGGCGATCACGGTAGTGACATACCCTTGGTGATCTTCTTGCCCTTGTAGACCTTGGTGAGCTCTTCCTCGAGGAGCTCATCGCCCTTCTGGCAGATTTCAACGATCTTGCTTCCCTCCAAGCACAATGCTGTACACTGGTATTAGGCATCGAGCAATCTTGTGACACGATAGCTTTGTCAGACGCACCTGAAACAGCTTCGAGAACCTTGTGGGAGATCTGCGCGGCAGTCTTGTACTTGGTCAATGTGTCGGGGTTGTTGAGGGTGTAGTCTAGAATTGACCAGAAGCAACGCAATGGTCAGCTATCGCGGGTGAAAAAATATAGGTAAATCCAGTAGGTCACAAGGGACTCGGTATGGTGGTCACTATCGATTGCTAGAGCCATATAGCAGCTAGTTTGACCTACTGGACTCCGTCCACTTTGCGCGATGACGATGAGGGCGGTGGTAAATCGTGGTAAATCCACACAATGTCGGAGCTTTGCAAAATGGGCGCAAGAGGAGGGGTCAAAATATCAGCGGTTACACTTACCAACCTCTGGGGCCTGGTTCTCAGCCATTGTGGATTATATGTTATGACCTCGCACTGATGCGAGGGCTAGCGACAATCAAAGAAGTTCTTAAATAAAACACTCGTCTCAGTACACTAGGAGAGTAGTAAGAGGAGGAGGAGAGGAATTGGGCTACTTTTGACCTGGTAACTTTCGATCGAGTCGTGTGCACTACGCATCGTTCATTACGGCCTGGCGGGGCTCTATTTCTGGATTTTCCCTTTCGTTGGTTACGTCGTCGAAGTAGGGCTTGTGGGCGGTGGACGGTGCAGATTTGACCTACTTGGGTTTAGTGTCGTCGAAACGGGGTAATTCTGTATGCACAGTACGGTAAACTATTCCTGTCACCTGAAGAAGCTGACGAGAGCTTGAGGAGCTTAGGTTCTTGCAATACCAGCAGTCACTGATAGCCATGGTAGGTGGCTCGATGAAGGCCATTACAAAAGAAATGCAATCATATACTGCGTGATTACCATGCTTTGATCGTTCACCTTGAGAGGAATTGGCAATTGATCCGCATCCTTTTCAAATATACACTGTGGCATGACTGCCTTATGATATATATATACGTCATAGCTCAACAAGCCAGCGCCAACATACCATAGCATGGAAGTATCGGATGAATCTTGGCGGCTCAACAGTGACCATGTAAGAGGTAGAGCTCAGAAAAGAAAGCTGCTTCAAGGAAAGTAAGATGTGGGTTTGAACTCATGTACCATGCTTGTTCATGCACAAAATGAAAGCTTCTGCTTTGGAATACCGTGCTCTTTTCATCTCTACAGAGATCCTGTTCTATTTAGAGGCTTTCCCATGTATTTCATCACCATGCGGCCAGCTCGGCGTGATGGGCTCTGTGGAGCTTTAGCCAAGGGCAATCCGGGCCAAGACCCAGACAAAAGTCCCTTATGCCCACGTTGAGACTATCGCAATGTACATTGCAGAGCACGAAGAGCAGCCCGCCAAAGAGACGGATGTTGGTCATATATCGGTGCCCAGTTGTCGGCCTGGTGCCATCATCCTGAAGCCTCCATCACATTATTACGAGACAATGATCCGCGCAGCAGCCCTGTGGTCGGCCCTGGCTGCTGCACGACTGAGACCGACAGGTATATCTGGCGTGAGGGCCTAGGACAGCTGCGCCATGTATTGCCCGAATCACCAGCTGGACAAAGCCTAATTAAAGAAGAAACTGTTGAGGATGGCGCGTGACCACTCTCAGCGAGTGCAAGCGACGAGGACAGAGATGGCCTGGCCCGTCGATGACTGGCGTACATTGGCGTCGAGTCTGTCTGTGAGCTTGTTAAAGCTGAAACTGCAATCATAATTACAGAACCCTAATCCATATTGCAGATACTACGTCTACGGGTATAGTGGACAAGAGTGAACTGCGCGTGAAGGGCATCAAGAGGCTGGGGACTGCCGACGCGAGTATAACCCCATTTTCTTCGGCAATCCATATTCAAATGGTTGTTTATGCGATAGGAAAACAGGCTGCAGCTATCATTCTGGGTCAAACCCAAACAGAGACTGAGGAGTTGCATGGCCTGTCATAGGGGGGGCCATTGAATATCATACATCATAGTGTTCAGCTGCTGATCTCGTCGGCGAAAAGTCAACTAGAACAAGGCTTTCGATGGGCTAATTAGTTGGATTGGAGTCGAGATGATCGTATACAAGATATATTAAAGCAAGACATAAGGTACATGATTTGGAAGGCATTGTCATCAGTGTCTGAATGCCCAAACAATGCCTTGCATGGAGGCACAACATCCAAATGAGGAGAAAGCATTTCCTTGGCCAATCATAGTCTCCTCTGTCAAGATTCTCCTCATCAGCTCCCAACCCGCCCTGATACAGTTTTAGATACCTCTTTAATCCTTCGAACTGCTTTTCGGGATCATCAGGGTGCAATCGTACAAGTCCACCGACCTTGAATTTGAGCCTTTCATCATGAAGGCAACCACCGAACTTCCACTACGTATACTAACACACAATATCCGCTATGCAACCGGTTCCCCATTCAAGGGTGAGCTGCCATGGGATGATCGCAAGCAGCCTCTCTTAAATGAACTGCTCTTCAATACGCGCAATCAGGATTCATTCATCTGTCTACAAGAAGTTCTCCATAATCAATTGGTCGATGTTCTATCAGGACTGAACCAACATTCTTCTACTGTCCCCACAAGCGCCTCCGAGACACAACAATGGGAATACATCGGAGTCGGTAGAGACGACGGTCAAAAAGCGGGAGAATACTCGCCCATCTTCTATCAACCGTCTGTTTGGCAGCTTCGTCATTGGGAAAGTGTCTGGTTGTCGGAAACGCCGAGCAAACCATCCAAGGGCTGGGATGCAGCATCGATACGGATTCTGGTAAGACACTAGGCGTGTGACGAAAGCCCATTCACTAAGCTGACGCCATACTAGACTATCGGTGTCTTCACGCACAGCATGA